AGGGGGCGTCTTCAACTATATATATACACGACATGTAAACAGAAAACTGAAAGGAATTTGAAAAACGCGCAAAAGCCACCTGAACAAACCTACCCCCTCCTCCCCACTCTCTCTCTCTCTCTCTCTCTCTCACTCACACAAACACACACACACACACACACACACACGCACACACACACAATCAGACCCCCGTGTCCGGAACCGACCTGTGATCCAGACTTGAGGTGCTGTGAGATGATCTTGCCGATGACGCTGTCCATGGTCATGCTGCTGCGGTACTCCACCAGCTTGACGCGCATCTCCTGCAGCTTGGTCTTGAGGAAGGTGAAGGTCGTGTTGTAGGAGTCGTTGAGCCGGGACACCATGTAGGGCACGGTCAGCTTGATCTCCTCCTTGCCCAGAGGCCGCGCCAGTCCGATCAGACCGTCCGTGCGGGCCAGGCCTTGGGGAGCGGGGGGAAGATTGTTGTTGTTGTTGTTGTTGTTGTGGGGGTTTGTTGTCGTTGAGGCTGCTGTTGACGTGATGGTCGGCGAGGCGGAGGGGTGGCTGTGGTGTTGTTGTTGCTGATGGTGGTGATGGTGGTGGTGGGAGTGGTGGTGAGGGGGAGGATTGAGGGAGTGGTGGGGGAAGGCGTGGTGGCTGTTGGGGTCTGTTGTTCCTCCTCCCGATCGAGAGCCGGGGAGCGTGCTGGAACTGACGGGGCCAGGGGAGCGAGGCGGGGGGCTGGACAGTGTCGAGGCGGTGCTGGTGTGGGGAGACGGGCCGGAGGCGGAGGAGGCGACTGCAGCAGCAGTGACCGTGTCCTTACGGTGCAGCGCTTGGGCCAGGGAGTGGGAGTGGCTTGTGGTGATTGGCGGAGACAGGTCTCGGGATGACAGGCTGTCAGCTGGGTACACGCCCACATTACTGCCGCTACTGCTCCTTCTTCCATTGTTGGTGCTGTTGTTGTTGTTGCTGGTGGTGCTGGTGGCCGCGGCTTGTTCGGTGGTGGTGGATGGCGCGGCGACTTCAGCACGACTGCTGGTGGCGGTGGCGCTACTGCTGTTCCCAGTTCGCCGCCGTTTCGGTTTTGGTTCTGAAGATCCTCTTTTCGCGACATTCTGGGCTGATGATGATGACGACGACGACGATGGTGCAGCTGTAGCGGACTCCGTCTCCACCGCCGCGTCCCCGGATGGGTGGTTGGTGGAGGCGCTGAGACTGAGGTCGTCAGGCCCCTCGTTGGGGAAGTAGGGCCGCTTCTTGATGGGGCTGCGGATGAACTGCTCCACGGCCGACACTTTCTTGCGTAGGTCGAGGCTGGAATTGTGCTGAACTATCACAGAGGGGAAGTTACCCGCCGTCGCCAAACCAGGCGGCGCCAGCTGGTCATCCGAGTAGGCGGGTGAACCCGTTACCTCCCCGACCACCAGGTTGTGTCCGGCGGTAGAGGAGGGCGGCTGGTAGGTGGAAGACAGCGACGCGGCGGTGGCAGCAGTGATAACCACGGAGGGGGACGAGGAGGATGAGGAAGAGGAGGGGATGAGGAAGGAGGAGGAGGAAGGGGAGCAGAGCGGGGCGGTGGTGGAAGAGGAGGAGGAGGCGGTGATCCCAGACGGGAGGAGTGTGCTGGGGATGATGGCGGAGGGGTTTTGGGTCAAAGCCTCCACAGGGCCCAGAGCTTCGATACGGCCGTCCTCGGTTTTGATGAAGACCTGTATTAAATTGGAAACGCGAATATACCGCTGAGGCAAAGGGCAAGTATGTACGTGTACATATATTATGATCAAAACGAAAATCTCTTTTCGTCGTTTCCCGAGAGAAGTTTTATTTATTCCATCTCCAGACAAGAAAGAGTCAACATCTATTTTATGAAATTCGATTTTATCTTTGGGTAAAAAGTATAAAGTGAGAAGATGGTAACGAATCTACAAAAAGTACAATAGAGCAAAGCTGAGTCGAGTTGTAACTTCAGGGATCACAGAGGTAATGATTCAACATCCCCAGCAAGTTTTACCAAACCCAGAAGGACAGCAAACTTTGAGTGTTTCAAATTTTTCGACCCATTAACTAAAACTTCTGAAAACTGGTAATTTTGGCGTGAATAGACTCAGCCACGGGGCCTCCACATACAGAAACCTTGACTGAAGTTGATTTCCTCTGTGTCAATAGTACAGGGTCTTTGTTTGAGCCTTATGTTGCTTGTTGGATTTAAACGTGATCCCCCCCCCCCATCCCCAGTCGCAATATTTTGTAGGCCATGCTAGTGAAATGTTTCATCATCATCCAGTGCCAGACCTGTGACAGACATCGGCGAACATGGTTTTCCATTCATTCCTTTGCTCGGATGTTCTAAAAAAAAGCTACGTTTCCCTCATCTTTCCCTCTTACCCATTTGTATAGGTTTCCCAAGTATGTTGTTCTGGGCCTACCCCTGCCTCGCTTGCCCTCAATTTTGCCACGGAGAGCTAGATGTTCAAGACCCTTATGTTTATTCAGGTGTCCCCAAAACTGCATTTGTCGTTTCCCGATTGTTTTTAACATTGAGCGTCCCACGTGGGCTTCATCAAGCGCAACCTCATTCGATTTCTTTTCCTTCCACGATACTCTTAGCAGTCTCCTAAGAAACCACATTTCGGTAGCTTCTATTTCATTTTCACCGTCTTTAGTGATTGTCCAGCATTCATAGCCATATGTTTAAGAAAAAGAAAAAAAATATTCGAGGAGAAAAACACAACAACCCTGGAGAACAAATAAAACAAAAGTCAGGAGACAACATGATAGCAGGTGAGGAAAATATTCTGTAATAAACGTGTACAAGTACCTACATTGTATATGGATATATCATATACTACACAATATACACGCATACATACATCCAATCCATTCATCCACTCTTCCAACCCTCCCGTCCCTTCCTCTTTACACACAAAAATGCACACGCACACAAACACACACAGACACACACACACACCTCCTCCCCCTCTCTCACCTGTCCAGCAGAACCAGGAAGAGCGTAGACCAGAGGCTGACCCCCGCGCGCCGCCGCCAGGTGCGCCATAATGGCGCTGGGAAGGTCGCCGGGGAGGGGCGGGGCGGCGTGGGAGGTGTGGGCGGGCTGTAGTGTCAGTGGGCGTGTTCCCGTCGCGCCGCTGCTGGTGGCGGGAGGGCTGTGGGCGGGGGTTATTTGT